AATGTGTTTCTGTATCCCAACTAATTAAATTAAGGTAATACATTTGTGGCTGGATTTTTAGTATCTATATCTATATTTATCTATCTGTCTATCTCATCTGGCTTCAATATCACCAAACTGTAGAGATGATCAAAAGCAAAATGAGAATGGTAAAGCTAGGGTCTTACTTGAAATATTGTCTTTCCAGGCTGATATTTTTCCAGTCATTCTGCCAGCAGTCTCAGGTCTGCATCGTCTATTTAAATTGTCATCTCATCTAAGTGCAAATCTTGGCCCAAGCCAAGGCCATCTGTTGTTGGGTAATAGTTGTGATTTATTCTGCTTCTGGTTGACATTCATGCTCATGGGCCAGATGCTGACTTGTAAGATTTGGTTTTTCTCATTGTCAGTTTTATACCATGTGTTAATATCACAAACAGTGTTTTAATTTTAGATATTTTGGTCTAGTGTTTAAAATTAGGGATGAGTAATAGCATCACACCCCCTTCCAGGATGCAATTCAGCATACTTCAGAACAGGATAGGACAGGAGAAAATATTTTATGTGTTAGAAATACATTCAGTGTTTCTACATGTTTAATTTCTTCCTAATTACTAATCCGTGTGCTCATTTATGTTGCATATAAATAATTAGGTATTGCTTTCAAATAAAAGTTGTGGACTATTTGAAGACTTCTAGGCTCAAGGATGTTGTAGGTAGCTAAACTGTAGGAAAAATTTTTATGATACTCTGCAGCAAACCCGCTGCTACCTTTGCAATAGGATTGATTGTCAGAACAACACTCCCGCATATAAAAGATAACAATTATTAAGATGACGGATAAATTTCCCTAATTCCAGATTTTTTAAAATGGCTCTTTGTAGCAGAGATGGGCAGTATCCAACTTCCAGACAGTCTGTGCATCTTGCACATTAGCTCTTTGTAGCAGTTCGGACTTAGAGAGCTGACTGGCTTTTTATGTGTCTGTCTTCTCCAAAGTTGCTGTTGAAACACTGAGGGGTTGTGCGGCTACTCCAAAGCGTGTTTGGATACACAAATGCGAGTGGAAATTACTTCATTGCCTCACTACCTGCTGTGGGAGCAGAAGGCTCTGGGTCTTCCCTCTCACACTGTTCAAAGTGCTCCAGTAAAACAGAGGAGTAGCAGGTGAACTGATACGTGAACCCCTTGGCTGTGTAGTTTTAGGAGACGTTTCGGAGTCCAGAAAGTAAGGGAGGGTGAATTTTAACGTCTTGGGTAGCAGAGTGGCTTCATTGAAAATGGTTCCCTATGCAACTTGTTTCAGATCCAATGAGTTGATCATGTCAGGTTGTGTGTAGAGGGATTGCTAGGAACAGTGCATGTATAGTAAGTGTCAAAGTTTTTATCCTATCGGTTTCTGTCTCTAACAGGATTTTGTGTGGCTGAGCAGGATGTGTTGGGCCTGCCATGATTTGTGTAGAATCAGTTCACTTCATTAGGTTAGATTGGATTATAATATTGGCATTTTATATATCTGCCTTCCTTCCTTATAGTCCTTTGATTTTGAGTGACTGACTAGAAAACAATGGTCCGTTTGTTTCTCTGAGTCAGAGAAAGAAGACTGTCTGGGTGGGATTTAATACAGCTTTGGGGGTTTGGATGTTGGTAGCCCAGTCTGAACTAGACCTCATTCTTCTGATAGTCACTGGAGAGCAGCAGGCTTCGCTGGAGCTCCTGTCATCTCCAGTGCCATCTTAGTGTAGAGTGAAATACCTGCTGGAGTTGTCCACTTCAGTTGACTGATCTACCAGAAAATGACTTAGTGTTTTTGTTTTAAGCCAGAACTATGAGGAAGGAGAGCAGATAGTGGTGAGCTGCTCATTTCTTCTTTGCAGCTCTTGAAACGTCATTCACAGAAGTATAAAATTAGTTGCAATTAAATCTAACTCCTGGTATTTAAAAAAAAAATGGTTTCTAGGTGAGGCGGAACTAAGAAAGGTGAATTTTGCATCTCATTGTTGATGCAACATTTAGAATAAATTATTGTTTTCCAGCAGATCAGTTTGGTGGAATGTGAACCTGCCCAGCAGTATTAGTGCATAGTTTGGCTGCGTTGTAGTCATGGAAATGAAATTTGTTAACTGCAGAGTCAGTCTGAGCCAAGCCTTTGAATTTAACCATGATGTAGGAGATGCAGAGCTTGTAAAGGCCAAGTCTGAGGTGTTTGCACTGCCTCTGTAGTCACCACAGGACCCTTATGAGAAGTTGGTACTGCCAGTGTCTGCCCTGTGGACTGCAGAAGGACAATCATAAGATCATCAAAACAGGTAGAGAAAACCTCTGGTGGTGCCTAGCCCAGCTCCTCCTTGAAGTGGAACTGTCGCCAAGTGTGCATAAGGGCAGCCATGGCTTTCTATAGCTGGATCTTGGAAACCTCCAAAGAGAGAGATCCCCTAGCACTGTGCTGACCTGTTCCAGGATTGCACCACGCTCTGGGTGAAAAACTGTTTCTGAATGTCCAATCTGAACCTCCCCTGGTGCAGCCAAAAAGGTAATATATGATAGAGGAGGTACCTGAGGAATTTTCATTATTTTGTTGCTATCTGGAAATTTGGCATTTCTGTCATGATACTGCTGTTTATTTCTGTAGAGGTACTCTGATTGTAAAGTCTTTGTGATAGTTCTTAATACATTTTATACATATAGTAAGTAAAGGTGCCATTATAAGCAAAACTAAGCCATCATCAGTTAATGTACCAATCTTCAGATATGTTAGCAAAAACATAGTAGTTACCTGTAATGATTCACAGGTGATCATCTGTGCATTACTTGTGTTCTCCTCGGTGATGTTGTGGACTCTCAGAAGCATTAAAAAAAAAGAAAAAAACAGGATAAACATTTTTAAAGCAATGTTAAAAATAGTTGTCAAATCATGGACATTGTTACAAAATGTGGTTTTAATGGACATCTTATCTTTGGCTTGTTCCCTTGGGAACACTGAATTTCAAGAACAGTTTTTCTGTGAAGTTCATTGTCTTCCTGAGTGTTGTCTTAATCTCAGTGGTTCAAAAATTAAATTGAAATTACATATGTAGTCTGAGAATTATACCAGAGTGGTTTTATAATTTTGGTACCAAGATGTTTTTAATTACAGTCATTTATTGAAGTAATGTTTTCTTCTTATGGTCAGTCATTTGGGTTTTTTGGGGGATTTTTTGGTGGGGAAAAGAGAGTGTGCTATTTCTGCAATGTATCTACAGAATACCCTGATATATTTAACACTTAACTTTGTGTGTAACTCAGTTCTCTGAATCTTAGACAGAGCAGTGTAGTGTTTAGATATTAAAATGGGGAAAATACAGTTACCCTGACATTAAGAAGTTAACAACTGTGTCCTGAAGGAAGTCTAATGCAAAAAAGATAACCTTGGCTAAAAGCACGAGATGTTTGTGTGCCTGTTCTTACCCTTAACCAGGGAGGTGACAAGCTGCATGTAAAGTTTCAGAGTGCTGGGTTTGTAAAATATTGTGGGAGTTTTACAAATGGGAAAGCATAAAATAAGACGAGAGCATTAAACTTGTTCCTGCTTTTTAACCGTGGGATATAGATGTCTGGATCTTGAAAAGTGAAATGCAGGTGTTCGGACCTGATTTTAGGACAGTTGCAAAAACTTCTTAATGAGTTGGTCTCTGCATGTTTGACATGGTGGCACCTGCCGGCTTTCGTTCTTCTCAGAGACACTGGGAATGAATTTGGCATTGCTGGGATTGGGAGAGAGGCAAACACAGGGGCTGGGAAAATCTCATAGAATTATAGAATAGCTTGAGTTGGAGAGGACCTTTAAAGGCCATCTAGTCCAGCCTCCCTGCAGTGGGTAGGGACATCTTCAACTCGATCAGGTTGCTCAGAGCCCCATCCAACCTGACCTTGAATGTTTCCAGGGATGGGGCATCTACCACCTCTCTGGGCAACCTCTCCAAAATAAACCTCTCCATTAATTCTTTGGGGCCTGGAAAAGTTACTTAGTGATCGGCAGGTTTTTGTTTCGCTTAGAGCCTGAGTTGTCAGTTATATAAACACAGTCTTTTGCTCCTAATTACTAAGAGAGAGCAAATATACTTCCCTCAAAGCGCCCACTGTGTACTGAGATGGTGCAGTGAAGCAACCTTCTGTCAGGGAAGCTAAGCTTTGAAAGGCATGGTCCCTCATCCTTAGTGGTCTTTCTTTGGTCCATCAAGATCAGCCTAGTACAACAATATGGGAGATGCCTGCACTGATTCTTTATGTTCTGTTACTTCTGTTGATAAGGAAAGGACCGTATTTTTCCAGGCTGCAAGTTGAGCAATTCAAGTTCAGCAATAGTTAGCAAAATCCTGTGTTTTTCTGTGCAGGTAAGGTCCACATCCAGAACATCTCCTGCAGATGCAGCTTCCACTGCTAAAACCCAGGGTACTTAGCTTGAACATTGCTGTCTTACAGCAGCACCCAGCCACCTCACAGCTGAGATAAGCTATTAAAGCCCAGCTTTGCCATCAAACTTCCCTGGTAGGTTTTGTCAGCAGAGCTCATATTTCCACCCTGTCACAACCCTGACTGATACAGTCCTACTAAAAGGCACGTGATGTAGAGCTTGACATAGATATAGCAAGATGACATTTATATATAAAGCAGACAGCACTGCAAGTAAAGGCTCCAATTCAGCAAAGCCCTTAACCACATGTTTAAACATCATTGAAGTCAAGTTAAATTACTTTAATCATATACATAAGTACTCTGTTGAACAAGGGCCTAATAGTAGTTTCCATCTCTTTCCACATGATCAAGGCTTTTTCATATTCTGCTGCATGCAATAGGGATTTCTTCTCGGTTACACAGCATGAGCAATTGCTGTGACTTTTGGAAGACTCCCTCAACAGTTTGAATTTGCTAAGCTGTCGTAAATAGTTTATGTGGAATGCCTGTAAGACAGAATGGAAAGGAATTTTCCCAGGTCTGTACTTCCAGGGTAGATATAACACATCTTTTCCCCTGTTTTCCAGGACCACCTGTTATTGCCAGCCACCACACATAACAAGACCAGAAGACCAAAGATGTCTATAGTGTTGCCAGCTGTAAACATCAATGGTAAGTCCAAAACATGAAAGAGAGCAATAGGAGAATAATTTCAGAGAGATGTGCCTGACTTGTACGTGGAAGCCAAACCTAGATCAAATGTTTGTTGTTACAGCTTTGAAAAAGAAGTCAAACTGGTCATTACTGGGCCTTAGTTGCCAAGGTCCTTGCTGGAGCTGGGGTGCTGGCAAATCACCAGAACCTGGTCACCGAGACTGTAACGAGAGGCTGCGTGCCTTGGCCAGCAGTTCTGCAGTATCTCATTCTGGCTTCTCCAAGGACTTGGGGTGGTGCTCTCCAGTCCCCGTGACTTAGACACAGCTGATTAAGGGTGACTTGAATGTGATCTAGCTTCTCTAACTCAGTGGCTACAAAGATCCCATCGAGTGCAGAAACTCCTTGGCCTTACTGGTTTGTTAGGGTGCTGACTGCCTTCCATCGGCTTCCTCAGCTGTTTACCACTGTTATACAACACTCAGTGTGAGTGGGACCTCTCAGCAGTACATGGTCAGGATAATAATAATCATGTTACAGTGCTACAGGACAGCAAATAAACCAGCTTTGCCCTAAGGGCACAGGCTTATTAGTGAACAGAAGTGTTCTTGATCTCCATTTTAGTCCCACATGGGAGACAGGACTTGAACTGTATAAATATATTGTTAATTCATATGGTGAGGAACTGCCAAGTTAGGACATGTTTGGGGCACAGGGTTACTGTCACAGTCATTAAACACATCGTGAACCCTGTAACAGTATAAACTTTACATTCTGAGTATCTGTGCACCATAATACTTTTTAAAAACTTACATGTTTTACAGTACAAGTGAATCATAAACCCAAATGTTTTCATTATTCAAGCATGCCAAAAACATTATCTGATGATGTGAATTTCCATAAATGAAGAAAAAAAAAATCAGTTCAGGCTTTCAACATTTTGATAGTTACATTTTCCCATGCAGTACAATAAGTTGAGTGTGATAATCTATAACCAGCTAGCTTAGGGGAATTTTTATTAGATGTATCAGAATTATTTTCGGCATTTATCTGTCTGAAACTCCCTTTTCATGTCCATTACAAAAATCCTTTTCTGGCTGATCTGAATTATCACGTGCAAATGGGCACTTTATCACTTGGAGAACAAACAGTATTTCTAAATTACAAAGTATTTCTTCTTTACATGTTACTGAGTCGTGTTTTACTTGAAATAGCTTTTCAGTTGTTGGAGTAAATATAATTTGGAAAATACACATCAGAACCCAGTGACAAATCTTATCCTTCATTAATGATGAAACATTGTGAAATTATAGTTACTTGAGTTCATTGGGATTTTTCTTCAGAACATCAGCATAATCCAGGAAATAAAAAAATGTCCAGGGATTTGGGCAGAGATGTTGAAACAGATGAGATGCAAGGATAGCATTAAGTAAACAACAGCATCAAACATTTGCTTCCTCTGTGACACTCAGCCAGCTATTAGGAAAAAAATTGTAAGACACACAAGAGCCCATAGGTAACCTGGCTTGATTTTTAATTTTATTAGTAGTAGATTACCTGGAGGAGATGATTCCCTAAAAATTTCTGCCTGGAGAAGAACCCATTTCTCTCCTCTGAGAGCATTGTTCCTCCTCCACCCTATTTTGCCTCCGCAGGGACTGAGCATGTCCTGAAAAAGCATCTGGAAGTTAGCTGACAACAAAGCTTTCCTCCCAGCTGTCTGCTGTTCTTTTAAGCCCACCTTAATTCTTTGTCCACCTGCAGAGAGTTGGCTGCTAGAAGAGGCTGGGTCTCCCTGGGAGGAATTGGCAAGAGTTTCAGTGAAGGAACTCGTCCCCTCCTGTCTTTTCTCGTGCCTCAGCCAGATCTCTGTGGAAGAAGAGAAACCTTTTCCACTGCCACTTACTTGCCTTTTTGCTACCACAACCCTGGCAGAGGAGATGAAGGGAATGCAAGTGAAGTGGCCTTTGCTTTGAAACTTCTTCACTTGCTTTCTTCTGCAGGATCTTTATTAGTCTGTGTACTAAAGTTTACCCATGACAGCATTTCCAAACATGAAACGGCTTGCAGTTGAGTAGAGAACCCTTTGAACTGCTTGGAGAGTCTTTGCCCAGCAGGACTGTCATCCTTTTCTGATTGCACTTTGATTGCTTGACTGTCTTCTGAGCTCCGCTAGCGAGACTGCCTTTAGCTGGCTTTAGCCATTCCCACTGCTGGCTGCCGGGACAGAGAACAGGTACGGACAAAGATTAGGAAGTACAATGAGTTCAGTCACTCTCCTGCATGACTCTGTGTGGAGATTAATGACATGGCTCTGCAAGATTGGTCTGGCAGTTTTCGAAAGTGTACAAAGCAGAATGAGGTTTACAATTTGAAGAATTTTTCTTGGAGGGAAGACTTGGGGTAAAGCTGGCCAGTGGCAGTGCTAGTGCTTTGCAGCTAATGGCAAATCTCAACAGAAAATTTTGTAGTGGACAGGTACATGTATGTGTGCATCCAATACGATGGAAGTTTAAGAGAACAATATTGTATGAAGCAATAACAGTACATTATTCATTTTCAAGATAAAAACTTGATAAAAACTAATCAGTTGTTATATGCTGGAAAAGTCTAAAAATGGCCATTACCTTGTAACTTTCTCCTGTGTGCTCCTTCTCCTGCACGTGCACAGAAACATGTTTAATATGTTAACATATGCTAAATATGTTTAAGCATTTTTTTTTAAGCATAGTCACTTGTTACATGTTAGTACATGTTAATTCCGCCCCTCTTACCAATTCCTCTTTCCCCGCTCTGTTCTAAACCCCTGTCCAAGCTTGCTGGGCCAACCCTCCCAGTTCACAGCCAGTACTTGCTGCCAGCTCCTCCATTTCTGCCTGGCCAGATGCTCTCGCAGCCCTTTACCCTTCTCCCATTTCCCTGCTGGCTGCAGTTTTGACCTGCCTCTGCCCAATGACAAAGCCCCATCATTTGTGGACACAAAGTAGTACCTACAGAAAATCTGCCTGATGGGACCTAAGGACCTTAGGGTTGGTAAGCGTGCAAGGAAAAAAGCAGTACTGGGTAGTCCTAATCCCACTGTACATGGTTTTGGGAGCACCATTCGTGTGCCTTTACGGAGAAGTTATTCCAAGCAGAAATATCTTGCAGTTTCTCATGGGAATGAAAGCCAACTGCAATTTACAGTTAAACTCCGGCTTTTGTTTTTAAGCAAGTCATGTTTGTTATGCTGGATTGCAGCTATTATTTTAGAAATCTAACTATGCACTTGAGACCAGTTAAGTCTCCAGTAGATTTCATTCCTAAATTTGCTTTTATTGTAATTCAGAGTCTTGTTGGCTCATTACAGCAATTCCAAATTGACATATAGGCGGTGCCTTTCTTGAAGTTTAAATGAAAACATCTGCCATTAGCCTTATATTTACTTAACTGCTGTAAAAAATGCAGTGGTTTATAACATTGATCTTTGGATGAAAATAATCAATAGAGTACAGCATAGCTAAGCTACTCTTCCTACCCAAAGCACAAGCCTTTTGTCTCTGCAGGACGCCTGCAGCTCTGCGGCGCAGCACACACCAGCAGTAGTCCTGTCCTTGCAACACACAAAAATGAGAACATATGTACAGTCACTCAGTGCAGGAGATGGCATTCAACGCTTAGCCGAAGTAGCCTCTTTGACTAATGCATTTCTCCTTAGGATTAGATTCGATATTCTCACAGTTTACACTTTTTCTTGGTAGGAGCAGCTGTAAATGTCTGTGCAGGTGTGTACTCACCGTGAGTACTGGTGGCCTTAGCAGCAGCACAAAGATGAAAAAGGCCTTTTTTTATTTGTAGGATGCCTGTGCAAAACAATTCCCTGTGCAAAACAGTTCCCTGTACGTGAAAGTCATCCCATTATTTGCTCTCTTTAAACTTAGGGTTGGTGTCTGTACTCTCAGCCAAACAAAAGTGAGAGACCTGATGGTGAACATGAGATCTGAGGCTTATTTTCTGGGAATTCACAGCCGTGACAGAGAGGTTTGAATTTTTTACAAATATTCTGGATAGGTCCTTAGTCTAATGTCATACAATGGGACTTGTCTTCAGTCTGCCTTTGAGGTTGTTTGTGTCTGACTCTATAACTTGCATGTTCCTGGTTCTTAAGGAGCCCTGTTCTTTTAAGGGTTGGGGTTTTTTTTCATGAAACACAACAGCAAAATAGTCTCCCAAAGGCAGATATTTACTGTGAACAGGATGGTGAGTTTTGCAAAGTTCATGTGTTCTGTTGTGTTGGCCAGCTTCTTCCGCCACTTCCCTCAGCCTTCCTTCCTAGCATCCATCATCCTACTGATGTAACAGACTTCAAAAGTGCTCTGAAATAATATGCATTCTAATTAAAATGGTCAATAACAAATCTAGTGGTCAGGCTTTTTGATCAAAACTGGAGGGATTTCTGCCATCAAGCAGCATGATTATTTGCATGCAACTACAAAGAACATTCTTTCAACTGACAGCCACATGCAAAAGCCGCTCACAGATGTCCAAGGCTGGTAGCAAACTGTCTGTGAAAAATCCATAAGGCAAACAGAACCCACAAAGGCTGAGAAGGAAAATAAAAAAAAAAAAAAGCTCTTAGGGAAGTGACAATGTTCTGTAAGTTCCCATGTCTTGGGGTTGAATAAATAAAGTCTCCAACTTCCTCTGCCTTTCAGGGTCAAGCAAACAAAAGATGCCATTTCCGTCTTTCAGAGCAAGAAGCAGAATTCCCGGTCAGTCATTGAATGAGGAAGGTCTAAAACAATACATACCACTTACAGCAGCTGACTTCCCTGAAGGTTGCTGCATAATATTTTGGGTAGCCTTCTCTCTCACTTTGGATGGTTTCCAGGAGGCTGATGGCCCCAGCTATCTCTAGCTGTTGTTTGGTTCATTCTTCTCTTCATGCTTAGAAGCCAAGTCTTAGTCCCTGTGGCTCCCTCACAGCCACTGTCCTTGGCCCCAGACTGAGAAGCTCACATCACTCTAGTAGGTACAGA